GGGAAGAGATTGAGAGAGTGTTCAGACGATTCAACGTGAATGGTGACAAAAAGATATCCTCCAAGGAGCTCGGCGACGTCCTACGAGCCCTCGGCATCGAGGTGTCAACGGATGAGGTTAAACGCGTGATGGAGGAGGTGGACACTGACGACAATGGATTCATCGACCTAAAAGAATCCAACTTCCTTAGCACTCTTAGGCTCTGAACCAAGGTGGTTAACAATCCAGGTTCTCTTTCAACCACGTCACAGTTAATAAGCGCCAATTCCTCAAGTCCGGCGTTCATGGCTGTCCCAAGAGTCTTGAGTCCTTCACCTATGACAAGGTAGAAACTTTGGAGCCGAAGGCTAACAAGACCATGAAAGTTCTTCGCAACAGCGGAGAGGTGGTCATTATCGAGGCCGAGAGGCAAACACAGGTCAAGCTTCTATAGGGTGGAGCTGCATCGCCTTATAAACTAATTCATTCTGACATCTGTGAACTCAATGGTGTATTAACTAGAGGAGGTAAGAGATACTTCATAACATTTATAGATGACTTTTCTAGGTACACCTATGTCTACTTATGAAAACTAAGGATGAAGCCTTTGACATGTTTAAACTGTATAAGACTGAAGTTGAAAATCAACTAGAAAAGAAAATTAAAATCCTTAGAAGTGATAGAGGTGTTGAATACTTTAAAAATGAGTTTAATTCTTTATGTGAAGAATTTGGAATAATACATCAGTGTTCTGCTCCCTATACCCCTCAACAGGATGCCCTGGCCGAAAGGAAAAATAGAACATTTACAGAAATGACAAACTGCATGTTGTTAAAAGCTAATGCACCTTTAAACCTGTGGGAGAAGCACTCCAAATAGCCTGTCATTTACATAACATAATTGTTTCTAGAGTTAATAACAAATGCCCATATGAATTATGGACAAGAAGAAAGCCTAATTTAGCATACCTAAAAGTGTGGGGGTGCTTAGCATATTATAGAGTTCTAGATCCTAAAAGAACCAAGTTAGGACTCAGAGCTAAGAGAAATATGTTTTTTAGATATGCATAACATAGCAAGGCCTATAGGCTTCTAAACTTAGAGTCCAACATAATAGTTGAAACTAGAGATGTTGAATTCTTTGAAAATAATTTGTGTTCTGAATCTACAGAAAATGAATCCACGAAAAATGACAGAGAACCTGAAAGAGAAACTCAGATCTTAATACCTATTGATAATAATGAGATTGAAAGAAGAAATGACACAACTGTAACACCTGCAATAGGACCTAGAAGAAGTCAAAGACAAATAATAGAGAAACACTTAGGTTCATATTTTATCTCTACTCAGTCAATTGTATTTTTGGTTGAGGC